CGGGCAGTGGGATCCCACAAGCGATACCCCTTGACTCCATCAGCATACCCCAAGAATTTGCATTTCCTGGATTTTGGATCCAGCTTTGAGATTTCTTGGGAGTTGTACATCACGTACACAATACTTCCAAATACATGGAGGTTTGAATAATCAGTTGGTTTACCAGTCCACATCTCCATTGGTGTCTTCAGCACTATTGCAGTTGATGGAGCTCGATTCACCAAATAACAGGCGGTATTGACTGCTTCTGCCCATAATGATTTTTCTAGGCTTGCATCCCTCAACGTTGCTCGTGTTCTTTCTAACAAGGTTATGTTCATCCGCTCTGCCACTCCATTTTGTTGAGGAGTGTTCGCCAATGTGAACTGTCTTTTGATGCCTTCTCTCTTGCAAAAGTCATCAAATTCTTCGCTTGTGTATTCTCCTCCATTATCTGTTCTGAAACACTTGATCTTATTTCCAGAATCAAGTTCCACCCACGCTTTGAAGTTTTTGAAAGTTGCAAACACATCTGACTTCTTCTTAATAAGGTACACCCAACATCTCCTGGAGTAGTCATCAATAAATGAGACAAAGTATTTTGCTCCGCCTAGGGATGTGACCGGTGCTTGCCATACGTCAGAGTGAACCAATTCTAGAACACTTTTGCCTCTAGAATTTGATGTGTTGAATTTCAACCGGTGTTGCTTACTTGTTATACAATGCTCACACAAAGGAAGTGATACCTTTGTTAAGCTGGGAAGTAGCTTTTGCTCCACAAGGACTTTCATTCCTTGTTCTGACATGTGTCCAAGTTTCTTATGCTATAGCATTGCAGAATCTGAACTACATGAGACAACAGAGGCTTCTGCTTCTAGCAAAGTCTCTCCCTTCAGCATGTACAAGTTTGCAACTATCTTTTCGCCTTTCAGCACCACAAGCGCTCCACGGAACACCTTCATGATTCCTTTTTGTGTTTCAATCTTGCTTGCATTTTTATCCAACAATCTGTAGGATAATAAATTTTTCTTTAGGCCTTTCACGTGCCGCACATCTCGAACAACTTTAATTGTTCCATCATACATCTTTAATTTGATGGTTCCCACGCCAACGATATCTAAGGCATGATCATTGCAACTATAAACAGATCCTCCTGAGACAGGTTCATAATGATGGAACCATTCTCTTCTTGAGGTCATGTGATATGTTGCTCCTGAATCAATGAGCCATATATCTGCAAATCGTTTTCTTCCTTCCACGGTGGTTGACGCTTCACAGCATAGAGCATCTCCATCATCTGAAGTGTTTGCGGTATTGCCTTGTGGATTGGAGTTTTTATTGAGACTCCAACAATCCTTCTTCAAGTGACCCTTCTTTCCACAGTGGTAGCACTTTAAATTCTTCTTGCTTCTCGACTTCGATCTACCATGTTTGTGACTGCTGCTTTGGCCACGTTCTGTTGATCTCCCTCTCATCGTTGTCAATGCCTCTGCTTGTTGCAGATTTAATTGTCCGTCTTCCTTGTTCTTGCGCCGATTTTCTTCTTGTAGAACAGCAGCTGCAACGTCATCGAAGACTAGACTGGTGACATTATTGTTTGTCAAGTTGATGATGAGTTGATCATACGAATCCGGTAGACTTTGAAGTAGAAGTTCAGCACGTTCTTGTTCTCCTATTTTACAGCTTAAGGATGTAAGCTGAGAAAATAAGGTGTTCAGTGTATTTAAGTGCTCTATCACTGAAGTAGATTCTGGCATACGGAGAGTATACAATTTCCTTTTAAGGAAAATTTTACTGTGCAACGATGTGGCCTCGTACAATTTGGTGAGATGATCCCATATCTCCTTAGCTGTCTTCTTCTCCTCGATGCTTGACAATACTTCATCTGCTAATGCTAGATGAAAGTTTGCCATAGCATTTCCGTCCATCTCGTTCCATTTGTTGTCATCTGCGAAATCCACCGGCCTTTCATTGATAGTCGCTAGACACCCGTCTTTCCTCAGGATGGCCTTCATCTTCAATTTCCACAGTGAGAAATTTCTCCTATTGAATTTTTCAATATCAATTTTTGTTGTCATAGCTTCTATTACGGATAGCTCCCACTATTTCACTATCGTGAATAGTTCTCTGGAACCTTCAAAGAATGGGTAATACCTTCTTACTTTCTTATGTTGGAGGATCCACCTTTTGGTGGCAACCACAAAGACAATAAGCAGATATTACACACTCTAATCTAGCTCGGATACCAATTGTTGCGGAAGACGGCTATCGGATAGAGCAAAATCGCAACTGATAATTTGAGAAAATAAAATTGAAGATAAAAGAGACACAAAATTTACGTGGAAAACCCCTAAAATATTTATGGTAAAAACCACGGGCAACGGTAGAAGAATTTCACTATGAGAAAATAGGAATTACAACCTCTCTCGATCTACCAAGGAGAAAACAATGATAATTCTCTCTAGATAAAAAGGAGAAAACAACTCTCAAGAAACTCTCTAAAATCTCTCTAGTATTGGAAGAAAGCTAGAATGCTTTGGGATGATTTTGAAGCTAAATGAACTAGGGTATTTATAGTTGAAAACTAAGGACTAATTTGTAAATACCCTAAAGTTTAATGACTAAATTATGATTTAGCCATTGTTCAAAAAATCAACAAAACAGCTCATTTTTTTCGGTGCATTTAATATGCACCTTTCGGTGCTTAGTCAACATTAAATTCTAGTATTACTATAATTAATTTATATATTTTCTTTAAAAATTTAAATTCATAAAATTTATATAATTTTTTTTTTACAAATTTGAAAAGATAAATAGGTTTAATGAAAGAGTAAAATTTTATTTTAACACCTGAACTTAATATAAAATTATAATTATGGACTTTTTTGTAAATCTAAAATAGTTTAAGGATAAATTTGTAATTTAACCTTCGTAGAATTTTTATTATTCAACGAAAAAAGAAAGATATTTTTTAGGGAAAAAATTAAGGGCATTTTAGTCCAAAACACCGGTAATCCAACAATACCTAAGGGAATGCGATAATCACATTCCCGGTAATATACACAAAAATACCACTTTTGAGAATAAAAGATTACCGAGAAATAAGATTACTGGCCAACCAAACGGGGAATAACATTCTATTCCCCGGTAATCCCATATTACCTAAACCAAACACCCCTAAGAGTATTTGTGTTGCATTGCTTCTTTACTTTTGGTGACTGCATACAAAAAGATGCTTGTTAATACGAACTGGGGAATGTAGTTTTGGAAAACTGCAGCTTACCATTGTTTGAATGCATCTTCAAGTATTTGGTGATCCCCACAACTTAACAATACATAGGATTTGGAACATCATATAACTATAGATGCAAGGTTTTGATTGTTATCCACGCCTCGATCTATGGAAGGACACATGATTTTATGTTAGAGGTGTAAATTTAAAAAATTATATTAGAAATTTAGGTAACCGGAAAATATAGAAGCCTAGAGATAGAAATTAAATCATCAATAAGAAATGCCTAAACTATATGTCAGGGAAACATCCCTCGATCCATCCCTGTCTTGTAAAATTTTCTCTAGCTGATTGTTAAATGAAACCTCTGTGACCCGAACAAAATCTCAAGGGTTGAAGTAACCTTGATTGGTAGTTTTCACAACCTTTGACGGTTTGTCCTCTATGACTAAAAAATGGTCATTAAGATAGAGAAAACAGTTCATCTTGTCGCTGTTTAACAAACTCGAAAGGTCACTAAACATTGTATTTTGAAATAACATAAATTCTGTCACTGCAACATTGTATTAGTTTCTGATGCAAGGAGTCTCCTACTGGTTCCATTATGGAAACCTTTAAGTGCAACCTTTGTCACGTTTGTTGAACTATTGGTCTAAAAAATTTGTCAGGCCAACTCACTGGGTCATTATGGGTATGCTTTAGGCTTAAAATAGGAGGAAATGAGCCCATGTTTTACCATATATACAGACATCAACTCTTTGATTCTTCTCATCTATTTGCTTTCTAGTATGATCAAATTACCTTCAACCATAAATAAAACCCCATTTTTGGATCACCCTTTTCATTTAAAAAGTGTTATAATTTACCAACAATCAATTGGTGGTGCAGTGAGATGAAACACTAAATCCTTTAAATAAGATCAAGAGTTTGAATATTGACATTCTCCTCTGACATATTTTTGTTGGGTTTCATTTGGAGGAAGGATACTTGTTCCTCATATGGCCCCATGAGGAAACTCCACTTCCGGCTGTAATTGTAAAAGATAATGGTCCAAAGTACTAACAACAAATCCAAAAAATTAAAACATATGCTTCCATTGGGTAAATTGTTATTTTCCCCATCTAAGCTACACCGCATCTTTTCCGTTTTAGATATTTTAAGTCGTCAAAATTAGTGAAAATGGTAAATTTAAATATGACTCTCAATCTTTCAACATTAACGCTCACACCCCTAGTATCTATAGTGCTCGAACTCAAATCATTAAAAATAACAATAATTCTTTTACCATAAAGGTCACTTAATTCGTGCGAAAGGATAATATTTAAGTAAGAACTTATTAATTATTTAAGTAACAATTTCTCAATACCTAATCTACGACGTCGATATATTTTTTAATTGTGAAATTTATTTTAAGACATATATATATATATATTTTTAATTAAAATGTTTTAAAAAAAAGTAAGCACAATTTGTCAATTCAGAGAAAAGAGAGTAATAATTAATTAGCAACTTTTGCTCATCCATCTTCTAATGCAACCGCAATAACATTGAGTCGTCCGGCTGTATCTTCGTCAAAATCAAACGGCCGTTTATCCTCGAATCTGTAAAACCGCCTGCTCCACTTTGGGTTCCGGTTTTCCTCCGAACCTACAGCTCCGGATTTCCAAGCCTACCAACAGTCCAGATTAAAACCGTATAAAAGTAAACGGTCCGGATTAAATCTAATGTGTAGATTTTCTATTAAGCCGCAAAAGATATTAGAGGGTTTAAAGAGGTAGAAGAGAACAGTAGAACACTCGGCTTCCTTTTGGATCTTCAAAACTCTAGTAAAGTAGAAAATCCGCTGAAAAAACATGGCTGAGCTCGAGGAGAAGCACGGGGAATCGTTGTTGGAGAAGATATCGGACAAGATCAAAGGTGATTCATCTTCATCGTCGTCTGATTCCGATGACGATAAGCCATCGGAATCATCGATGAAGGCCAAAGTCTCCCGTCTCTTCGGAAGAGAAAAGCCCATCCATCAAGTTTTCGGTGGAGGCAAACGTATGTTGCACAAACCCTTTTCTTCACTCCTTAAATATGTTCACTTCAGTTCTTTTCAAGTCTGGGTTTTTTGAAGTTCCCGATTTCCGTTTTGAATCAGTTAAATCTCCATTTTTAAAAAATCGATAATCGTTGAAGAGTTAGATCTTGCTCAATGATTTAGATCGAGCTTTTGGTTTTGATTAGCTGATGTTGTTTGAGCTGAATTATGTTTTTTTTATATCTGTTAATATCGGTGTATGAAGTTTTACTATTTTGCTTTATTAGAGTGAACGAAATCTGGGATTATCTTTATTTAGCAGTAGTTTCAGAACATAGTAGTTGATTATCAATCATGTTCCCTGATAACAATTTGATAACTTTTTATTGATTATCATCAGTAACTATTAGATTCCGACAATTATTGTTTATAATGCGTGCTTATAATTGGGTGTATGTGTGACAGAGGCTGACATTTTCCTGTGGAGGAACAAAAAGGTTTCGGCCGGAGCGCTAGGTGTTGCAACTGCGATATGGGTTTTCTTTGAATTGCTCGAATACCACCTTCTCACTCTAGTGTGTCACTTGTTGATACTTGCTCTTGCACTACTCTTCTTGTGGTCAAATGCTGCTACCTTCATTCACAAGTAAGCTATTGAATTCGTTCTCGTATTTTGGGGATTCATTCAGATACTGGTTTCTTTTGACTGGACTTAATGGTGAATTGTTTTGAATAGGTCTTCAATGCGCATTCCTGAAGTTCAAATCCCCAAAGAACCAGTTTTAGAGCTTGCACAGGCACTTAGGTTTGAGATTAACCGGGCTTTTGCTGTCCTGCGGGATATTGCATCGGGAAGAGATCTTAAGAAATTCCTCTCTGTATGTAATTTTATTTCACTGAATGGTCTTCTTGTTGATCATTTGCAAATATTCATCCAACTTGGAATTAAGATAGTGATGCAATGGTTACTTGGATTGCTTTGCTCTATTTGAAGATTCCATGTATTTTACCTGGCATTTGACTATCATATTGGATTGGCGCCCTGATATTTTCAGGTGATTGCTGGCTTGTGGGTCTTGTCTATTGTGGGAAATTGGTGCAACTTCTTGACACTGTTCTACATAGGTATATGACTTACCTTCAAATGCTTTGCTTTCATTCCCTCAAATACATTTTTGATTCCTGATTTTTTTAATGGTTTTGCAAAATAGTCTTTGTACTACTTCACACTGTGCCTGTGCTGTATGAGAAGTATGAAGACAAGGTGGATCCATTTGCTGAGAAAGCATGGCACGAGATCAAGAAGCAGTATGCGGTGTTTGATGAAAAAGTCCTGAGTAAGATCCCCAGGGGGCCATTGAAGGAGAAGAAGAAAGATTAGGTTACTGGTGAAAACGTTTGCTTTTGCTAGGTTTTGACATACAACTGCCAGATGTGGCTGTGAAGGTGGTGTTAAATTTTATCCAGTATTAGCTAGAACCCTGCTTTCATATGTTCAAAATTTGTCGAATATTTGATCTTTTAATTCTCGTATTTACTACACTCATGGTAGGCTTTTATGGGTCTATATGTTACGTAGCAATATGTTATGATATTGCATGTTGTGGATCATTGTGTTGTACATTGGGTTGAAGCTTATCTCAACTTGATATGGATATCTTTCTGAATGATTCACTTATGCTTTCTGTTGGAGGCTTGATGGATTCATGGTCGTTTTTAATTGTCATTGTGTTTGTTTAATGTTGTGAGTAAACATTAGCAGGCACCAGTCTAGCGCGCATCCTGTAACATTGGACATTAGATTAAGATGCTTATGTGGAAATTTTCTAGTGAAGACAAGTATAAACTTGGTTCGCATTAGGATTGCAACCATCCCAACTGTAGCTTAATGCAGTAAAAGTGTTAAAAAGTGTCTCGTGATTTAGTGATCGAAAAGGGAAAAGGGAAAAGGGAAGTCTTGAAATTCAAAAATAGTTATGTTGTATATTTTAGCGTTTAACAGAAGTATGGATCTAGTTCTTCATTCTTAAAAAGCTAAGAAGCATACATTTTCTATGCCTGAAAATATCTTCTGTTTATTAATTATGAGCGTTTTATTTTAAATGACCTTTTTGTTTTTATTGGATATATCTAATTAAAGATTCAGAACCCTTAAACCTAATCAGATTGATGGTTTCGGCCTATACACAGCAGAAAGACATTTAAAAACAGACAGCAACAAATGGAAAAGAAAGAATTACTATTTACCATGAAGAATGAGAGTACTCATCTAACAAGTTAAAACCCAGTTTCAAGATTGGAGGTTGCCCTTTGCCAAACTGCACATAAGATCTTCATTCCTTGGTTGCTTTTGCTGTCCATGGTACATAGTCATAGATAAACAGAAACAGTGGAGCAATTCCACGAGCCACGCTGAATCAACTGAGTTGCCTACTGGCATGCCACATTCGTGTTACTTGGTGGCATTCAGATGGAAGACCTCTCTAGGCATTCATTCAAAGCATACCCCACAAAATCAGCCTGAAGCATATGCTTCACTTGAACATTAGAATTAAATCCAAGAACACAAAGCCGTTCCAGAGGCTGTGCAGAAGCATAGATGGCAATAAATTCCTCGACCGTGCAAAAACAACACCCATCACCATTTCCAGGAAAATAAGCGGTAGCATTCTCTGTACATTAAAATGTGCCACAGCAAAGGCAACTGAGCTTACCAGTATTGCACACCATAAAGGCATGTATTTGGTCAAGGAAGGGAGAAGGAAACCCCGGAAAACTATCTCCTGCCACACAAGAGCACAAATTGAAACAACAATCGCATATAGTGCCATCGCTACTGGATCTCTTGCTAAAATAGATTGTTCAACACTCGAAAGGGTTACAGGAGTAGAAGGCATCAGGGGCAACAAGTTGAGGTTAAACTGTGACAATCGATTGACGAGAGGAAACATGAGGCATCCTAGAGCAACATCAAAAAGCCACTTCCCTCTCGAGCTAAATTTAAACCAATCTGATGGAAGGGGATGAAATCGAGACAGGCAGCGGTGGAGTATTGCAATCCCGGCAAGGCCTTGAGTTACGTCAGTCACAAGGCTGAATAAGGCTTGCCCTCTGAATGTTAGAGATTCCTTGCTGAACCCTGCCATGTAAGCAGCAAAAGGAATCACCCAAGACCCAATGAACCAGAATGCAGCTACCCATAGAAGCATAACCTGCATAAGCACAAGACATAATATCATGCAACTAATTGACACATTTGTAATTCATCCAAGTTTCAATGAGATTGTCATACAACAAAATGGCTTTCCTTCAGTTCCTTCCATTATTATAGTTCCTATTCTTAAAATGCTAACAAGCATGATTATTTATTAACATCTAGTTTCAGATATGATCATTTCAACCTATTACCATATATTGTTTCAGTTACTGAAATTCATTTACCTATCTCCTAGACAAAAAGTTATCAAATATTAGATATAAAACAATAAACAAAGATGTGTTCATGTTATCTACCAGAAAATACTGAAAGTACCACGAGTGGCAAATTAGGAAGGCTGTAAAACCAAGTCTCAATTTTCTCCTCTCTAAAATTCGTTTAGGGTGTGTTTCGTAAGAAAATTTTGAGATGCATCAATTTCAAGTATCAGCATTTGCTATTACATTGTTGAGATGATTATTTTTTTAAAACAATTTGCATATCAGAATTAGATGAGATAAAATTGATCACTAATTATAATACAGAAAAAATATATTACAGATAAATGAAGCAAAATGTTGAAAAATATGGGTATCACTATATTTATAAGTGTATAGACATTAGAAAAGAAAAAAAAATTAATGAGATTTGAAGAAGGTTTAAGGATGTCAAAGGTCCATGTACTATCTCAAAAGTTGAAATTTAGTCCCTGTACTATACTTTTGCAAAACCGAGTCCATTTTACTATTTTAAATTTGAAAAGCTTGATCCCTCCCCTAGCTTCCGTTCAATTTTACCTAGGGGTGAGCATTTGGTCGAGTCGAGTAAAAAAATTTCGAGTTATTCGACTTGACAAGTCATATTTTGTGACTCAAACTTAACTTGAAAATTTTTCAAGTCAAGTCGAGTTTAAGAAATTTGAGTTGAGTTATTCGAGTTTTTAGACAAATTTGATTATAATTATTTATAGTATTATGGTAAGGATTGATTCCAATATTTCGATTTTCTCTAACCATATAAGATATATGTATATATATATATTTCTTCATATTCTTTTCACATATATAATGTTATTTAATATGTCAAATACAATCTAAAATCGTAAAATATATTTACAATATTATATTTTAAATTAAGATATTTTGGGGGTAAAGTATTGATGAGAGAGTATAAAGGGGTCAAGAAATTGATGTACGAAGAAAGAATTCGCAAACAATTGCAGTCAAAAGACAAATTGAATAAAATGCAAAATTAAGGAACTGAATGAAAAAAGAGAGTATATTTTAGTAAAAAAAGGAATTGAAATTCTATAGTGGTATAGAAGCATGTGGTTCAATTTTGGTAAAAATGGACTTGAAATGAATGATGAATTGAAGAAACAAGGAAATCATGTAAAGTTGAGGGACTAAATTGAAAAATAAAAAATATTATTAAAAAGAGGAATTCAAAGCACGTAGGTATTCTACGATGGTTTAGGAGCATGTGGTTAAAATTTGGTAAAAATGGACTTAAAATAAAGAAAAAATCGAAAGAATATGGAAATCAGGGACTAAATCGCAAATCAGCCAAAATTTCAATTTTTCGAGCGACTTGAAATTTTCAAACTCCAAATCAACTCGAACTTGAAAATCAAATCAATAATTCGAGTTGACTCGAATAACTCAGAATTGAAAGAAATGATTTTTCAAGTTGAGTTTTGCTCACCCCTATTTCACCATTAACTGTTGACCCAGCAGCTAAATAAAAAAGGAAAAATAATTTTTTAGTCCTCTATGTTAACAATTTTTATTAAATGAACACTTAAAAAGCAGTAAAAGTATATGACTGGAAGATTTTATTGTTCAATTAATGAAACTATATATTTATTTTTAAAGATTAAGGGTCAAATTGATAAAAAAAACTGCAAGCAAAGGGACTAAAAAGTTATTTTGCCTTCTTTTATAACTGTCAAGTAAGAAATTAACAGTAAAATTGAACATAATTCAGGGGAGGGACTAAGCTTTTCAGATAGAAAATAGTATAGGGACTCAATTTCACAAAAATAAAGTATAGCAACTAAATTTTAAATAGTAAAGGGACACCTAACGTATTTAAATCAATTGAAGAAACTAAAAATTACATTAGAAACTAAAAATTTCCACCTCAGAAGGTTGAATTGTAAAAGAGAAATCAACCCTCCAAAATCCCTCATTCTAAGTATTTTCACAATTCCAAATTTCATTTTCCAAGCAAGGCAAGTCCATTTTAAAATTTTAAGTCTCGCTAACATATATAAACTTTAGTTGCTTGTTTCAGTACAATTAACTGACCAAACATGAATGAGCAGACTCAAAACATATTTCTACAGAATACCAAGTAAAAAAGCTAACCCGCAGAATAGTTTCTGCTGTCCATGGTACAGTCCACCTGCTACCAATAGCCCTCAAGCACGGAGAATGAAAATGTAAGGAGATTGGCAAACATGTTAACACAATTGAAAATTTCTGCACTAAGCTCAATTTTTTTATCCCTTGAATCCATTTCTAACTCTTTGGTCTAAAGCCACGTAGCTAAGAGACATGTATCGAGTCAGATTAATATTATATCGATTGATTTCGGGTAGGATCAAATCAGATTGGTTGATTTTGGATTAGGTCAATATCCGATCAATTATTTTTGGTTTGAGTCAACTTTGGATGTTTAGATCAATTCGAGTTGAGTTGAGTATGAGTCAAATTAAGTATATATAGAATTATTGATATATTTTTTTGTAAAAAAATGTATCTTTTTTTAGTTTAATAAAAAAATAAGTGTCCAAACTATGCTTCGAAAAACTTTTTAATATTTAAAGAATTTTTCACTAAAAATATGTGTCTAATGTTTTCTCAATTATATTTTTAGGTATCTACCGTTATCATTTGTATATTTTTAAATTTTTTCATAATAAAAATATTGATTTTTAAAATAGAAAAAATAAAAAACTTAATTTATTTATAAAAAAAATCTAATTTTTTTACTGAAATTATAAAAAAACCTAAAAAATTAAAATTTCTCATTTCAACCCATACCAACCATTGTTGGCCATCTCCGGTCATCATCATCATCGAAAAGGGTCGGGTTTTGATCCAAATTGCATGGTAATTCGAATGGTGGTGGTGGTTTAACTTATGGATGTCGGAATTGATCGAAATCGATGAAGAACAGCGACGGTGGCTTAAAATCCTACGAATCTTTGAACGTTTCTCCATAGCAAACGGTGGCAGATTACGACGAAAGGTCAACGGGGGTTTGATCGAGGTCGACGTCGGTGCTGAAGACAGTGGCAATGATGATCTCGGTTGGCTGATAGACAAAGAGTGGAAGGGAGAAGAGAGAAGGGAGGGAGAGAGAGGGGCACAAGTACTGTTTGGATTTATTTTAATAAAAATATTTTAATATTTTAATTTTTTAAATAAATTCTTAAAATTACCCAAATGTGCACGTGCCACTTAACAGAGATTTTTAATGGCGATTAACGTCGAGTACCTAAATATGCAACGTTAAAAACATTTGACACATATTTTTGGTGAAAAATTATTTAGGCACTAAAACATTTTTCGAGACATAATTTAGACACTTATTTTTATATTAAACATTGTTTTTAAATCTTGTCATTTGTATTTAATTTCATTTAAATTCAGTTATCATTTAGGGATTTTAATTTAACTCAAACTCGACCTATAAAATATATTAGTGTCCGTGATATTTTTTTATTGATCCTGACCGAAACGTTTGTGGTACAATCTATTTTATTAAAAAATAAAATTTTTAATTATTAATTTTATTATTAATTAAAACTTTAAATTAGATGTTTAACGTTCAATTATAAATATAATATTTTTTATTAAATTTCAAAGTAATAATAATATACTATCTATGTATGAATAAATATTATTTTAAATATATTTATAAATGATATTATATTATTATATCAATAAAAATATTTTAATTTTTAAATTATAAATAAAAATATTTACCTTTATATTATAAAAATAAGTTATTTGTGTAGTGTAAAAATAAGTTATTTTATATTAAATTTAAATAATTGTATTTTTTTCATATGTAAATGAATTAAAATAATTTTTAAATTAATTTAATAGTTTTTGATTTAATAATTCCAAAGTAAAATATTAAATTCATAATTCATATTTTGATTTAAACGAATTTAATAATTTTTGAATCATTAGGTAATAGAATCCAAAATGAAATATTGAATTAATAATTATTATTTAGATTATTTAAAGATTAATATAATATTTTGGTTCATTAATTAATGAAATCTAAAATAGATATTAAATTAATAAATTATTATTAAAAATAAAAAATAAAAAAATAAAATAAAATTTAACATAAATTTAGGATGTCAAAGTTATTATAAAAAATATTTGATGGAGAAAAATTAATTTTATTATAATTATTAATCAATTAATGAATGAATGAATTATAGATTAAAGCAATCTCATTATTAGATATTTAATTAGGTTATGAATTTAAATTTAGATATTTAATTAATAAAAACAATTAAAGTTCAAATCAAATAAATAATTATTGTATACTTGGATTTTATATTACTAGTTCATTATTTAACATATTGCTAAAAATAGATAATAATAAAATAAAATATTTATACATTAATTCAATTATCGGGTTAAAATTGGGGCAATCTTTGGTTCAGATTATGTTTGGGTAAATTAAATTCGGGTTACTTTCGATTTGAGTTATTTTCGATTTGATTGCTTTATGTTCAGGTTACTTTCAGTTCAGCTTATTTTCGGTTCAGGTTACTTTCAGTTCAGCTTATTTTCGGTTCAGGTTACTTTCGACTTAACTAAAATTAGAGTATTTAGGTTTTTATTTTGAGATATATGATATTTTTTACGGTGTCCATAAAATTCGTTATCTTGGGGTGATGAGTTCTAAAAAATATTTTTTATTTAAAATTGTAATCTTGAAGTGATGAGTTTTAATAAAATATAATTTTTTATTAAAATTTATCGCATCTAGATAAAAAAAATTTAATAAAAAACATTTTTATTAGAATTTATCATCTAAACGTTATGAGTTTTATACACCGTAAAAAATGCAGTAAATTTCAAAATAAAAGTGTCTATCCTATTTTGTAAAAAAAAATCGGATTGCCCTGTTGGGGAAAAGAATCGATGACAGAGAACCGAACCTTCACAGAAGAAAAACAATGGAAAAGGGGTTGGGGACCAGGACGCCAAACCTAGGGATGACAGGCGGGTACAATTTCGTGGATTCCGCACCGCACCCGCTCCAATTGGGGTGGGGATAGGTATAATTTTAGTGGGTAGTGGGCGGGTGTGGATTTAGAAAATGGTACCCGTCGCAGATAGTGGGCTGGTAATGGATTTGAGACCTTACCCGCCCCGCATCCGTCTGCCCAGCTAAATATCCATTAAATTTTGGATCATTATGAATTTATGTGTAATTTTAGAGACTAATTTATAAATCCTAATATTGTATAAGATATAACTTCGAATTTAACCAAATATTAGGGATAAGTATATGCATAAATTTGTTTTCTTTCAAACCTCGTTACTGCGCCGATCTTTCAAACCTCTGGTCTCCACTCTCCAGTTTATTCATGTACGTTTCTTCCCTTTTTACTTGAAATTTAATTTTTGTAAGAGTTATTTCCGTAGTCATTTCGTTTTAAGCTCCTCTGTATTTCGTTTTAAGAGTTTAATTTTTATTTGCTCGTATTGATTTTTAATTATTTTTTAGATTCATCTCAATGTTTGTTTTAAGCTTAATTTTTTAATGTTCTGCAAATCAGTATCTTGTCACTGAGCACCCACGTTTAGGCCAACAGAGTCAGATCGTTGTTTTTCAAACCTCCATTTTTAACGCCACTGAATAGAATTAAGTGTTAAGAGATTCATTGTCTTCCTTGTGCTATATTACTTTCCCATGTTCTTGTCCCCGAAATTAAATTTATATTTTTTTATCTTTTACTAACTGTAGAGTTTTCATTAGAATAATGACATAAAAATTTATAGAGTCAAGTAAGCATCTTTCTTTTTTTTTTGGGATGTGTCAAGTAAGCTTCTTTAGTTTGGTATAATAATATCATTTGTTTTTTTGCTTCTAATCTCTACCGAGAATCCTATTTTAGGCACCTCCTAAACTATATCTTGAAATGAAACACCAAATTTATTGCTTTTCTTACTGTTAACATATAAATAGAGGAGTAAATGAAAGGTCTACCCACATCTTTCACATTTATTTATGATAAGTAAATGCATTGAAGAGAAATCTTTGTAATGATATGGATGTCTTATCGTTTATGGTTAAAATGCTGCAATTTTTTTTGCTCATTTAAAAATGGCCTATTTTGTATTCTCCTTTCTGGAGAGCTGCTATTTTAGGAGGTCTTAAATCATCTTAGTTTGCTTCGATAAAACTTAAATGTTCTCAGCTTTTGTTTTGGTTAAATTCGATGATATTTTCTCATGATTTTGATGGAATAGTTTAGTTCAAAGAAAGCAGATGATAGGGAAATATAAATATATAATGTCCTTGAATCATATGCATGTAATTCAATTGCCCTTTCTTGTTTTACTAAAAAACATAGTTTTATTTCTTTTCTAATCCAATATAGATTTTCTTGTTAGATAACATAGTTATAATTTCTAAAGCAAACCGAATATACGATAAGTTTATTGTCTAACATATTTATTCAAGCAAAACATGGTCTGCAAGGTCCATACTGAGTTGTCACCAATCTTTGGCTTGAGCTTGAAGTACGAAAAAGTACACACATATATGATGCATCCCCTATTAGGTGAGTAGTGGGTATGGGGATGGATTTGAGAATGTACCCGTGAGGGTGTGGATTTGAAAATTTTTACTCATCATGGGTGACGGGCAGGTGATGGATTGAAAAATATTAGGTAGGTATATAGGGAGGGGGTATTCACACCCGACCTGCCCGTTTGCCTAATCCAGTTGCACGACTTGAACTGAACGAGGAGATGGAACACCCTTTAGCCTGACACTACGTGTACGGCCATGCTTTGAGTTTCATTTCTAAGGAAAAATCTTCTGTTTTTTTTCTTCTTTTAACCTAAAAGTTTTTGAATTTTGTGGCCCCAACGACATCTTTCTTTGCTTCGAAGACCTTTATTGAGAAACGAGAAAAAGAAAATACGGGGTTTTCTTTTTGTATTTTGTATGCAGCAAGTGCATGCATGAAACTTGTTAGTGCTTTGCTTTGAGTTTGACCCCTGCTAAAGCTCTCTTTTTGTTTCGAACTTAAAGTTTAATCAAATAACCCTTCAGAGATCAAGAAGAAGAAAATGACCCATGACTTAAAGACTTCTACTGTCTTTATTCATCAATTGGGGGAAGGCAAAGAGGCCAATAAATCTTAGTTGTAGGGCTGGCCCCCGATAGGTTGTGCCATAAAAAAAGCCTGCAAAGCTATCATCCCCTAATCGGCCAATATCAACCAGAAAATGTTTTTTCTCACATTTTGAGAATCCCAACACCAGTTCCAAGTCATGGACAATGTAGCGCAATAGGGAAAAAACTTTGTTGATCGTGGTTCACATCTCTTGATTTGAACAGATAACTGCTATATATGTCTTTATATTGTAGAGGGTCTGTCATGAAGGAGAACGGTTGTTATCAAAGGAGTCTACCCTTATTTCAGTATGCATGTCAATCGAATGGTCATTATCACTATGAATAAATTGATAGACTAGGTAAATCTTATAGTTAAACTTTGAATTTTGTTCTGATAAATTTATTAAAAATTTTGTCTAGGTCTTGTCTACGCAATTAATTGATGAAATATTCACAATTTCTAGTACATTTAATTTGACGGAGAATATGAAATTTGTGTAAAGCCTGTTTCCGAAGGCATAACAATATTTATTGCATCAACAAGGGTGACAAAACAAAGAAAGAGACGTATGGAGATTTAAGCGTATATTTGTCATGCTAGGGGAAATGGTCGGGTATGAGGTAGTGACAGAACAATGCCAGGTTTTATTTATTAGAATTTTCAGCTCTTTTGTTTGAGTGCCTGCAACATTAGTTATTGTGTCGTTGAATTTAGCATCAGGGATGGTGAAAGCCAGAAGGAAATTTTTTTCCCCTCTGCTGCTGATGCTGATGCAGTGGTTCGGGGGGGGGGGGGGGGAGTTGTGATTTCTAATGTAGCCAAAGTCTTGTGACACTTGTACTCCATTCTTTTTATTACATGTATTACATGATTTGTGTAATTTTTATTTATTTATTATGGACAAAATTCTTAATTTTTTTATATTTTTAGCCTTTTTTTTTTATTTTAGTTTAACATGCGTTCGTATTATCATGTAAGGATAAGATGCATCCTACAAACGCACTTTCAAGGACATTTCCTACTTGATGCACCATTATTGTACTTGACATAAAAGAGTAGATATAATAAAAGAATGAGTGCCATAAATAAAAAGAATCAAATTTCACATTTTTATGTCTGTTGTTAGGCATGAATTTATTTGAGTTCGGGGTGTAAATAATAAGAATCTAAATTGTAAAAGTGAAAAACTTTAGTATCGGTTAAAGAGAAAAAAAATGAAAATAAAAGCTTTTGAATTGAAATGTTCTGATCACGTGCAACCACAAAAACATTTAGCATCATAAAACACGTACCCAAACTCCTCCGTGACGGAGATGTTTATCATTCTTAATTTCGCTAATTAACAGCAGATTTAAAATTAAACAAAATTCAAACAAGCAAAAACTGCCGATATTTTTAGTTCCCGCCGATTCAAAACTTGCCGTAAAACTGGCATCACAAGAGCAAAACAAGGAGACCACTCCCTCAAATGGCTAAAAGTGGATCCGACCCGAACAAATCCCCGATGTCTTGGAATTGATTATCGCCGTGTTGCCAACTTGAGAAGCTCCCAAATTCAAACTCCAAATCCGCACACGAACTGAAAAATCCACTCCCGAAATCGTCTTTCATAAAACTTTCCTGTAAACTCGTATCTTCGTCGAACAAATCTGGTACCGAACTGAATATGTCACTCGGAATACAAAATGGATCGTCGGAGGAATCCGGTAAGTTTTCGCCGGAAATGCAGCAAGACTCATCAAGAACATCTCGAGGTTCGCTCTCGACTTCGCCGGCCGAAAGCGAATGGAAACGGAGAACGGAGGTCGGGGAACAGAGGTTGGTGGTGGTGTTGTGAGATTCTTCGACGGAGTTGTACTCTGAGCTGGATAACGGTTTTTGGCTGTTTTTGTCTTCAACTGATTTTTGGTGAGTAGCGGTAAAGGACGTGAGCGCGTCGGGACCACGTAGTTGAATAGCCGCGTTGTCGTACACCATTGCTGCTTCTTCGGCGGTATCATAAGTACCCAACCATAACCGTACACGTCTTAGCGGGTCCCTTATCTCAGCCGCCCATTTTCCCCAAGGCCGTTGTCTCACTCCTCTGAATTTCTTCCCGGACGGTGCTTTGGCGGACGCTTTATCTCTTGCTTCAGAAACAGCCGCCGGCCTTTTCCGACAACTCTTCGAGGACGACGACGGTTTACTTCTGAGAGTAGCATCTTTTTTCGATGGACACGACGATGTATCGATAGTTATCTCTTTGACGAATTTCTTGACTCTGTTTCGAGGTCTGGTTGTTCCTTCTTCTTCGTCGCTGGAGGAATCAGTGGCTTCAGCATCAGTAACTGAAATCCGAACAATCCGAGGCTTCATTTCTGGCTGGTTTTTTGGCCTGGCATTTAACAGTGGTGAACGGAGCTTGGTTTGATTACGGAGTTGTGTGCATTTGATTGAAGAAACTGAACAATGGTCCATTTTTTTCAGTGATTCGACTTGTATCACTTCGAGAATAGACACGAGGAGAATAAAGGGTGGAAAAAGAAAGCTGAACAAAAAAGAGCACGTCACGGTGAAGGGAAACCCACTACTAATTTGTTGAAAAGTACTCAAAAGCATATAAAAAAACAGTAGTTGAGAGAGCGGAGCAAAGAGGATAAAAGGAAAACACCAGGCAGTGCTTTTTCTCACTCACTTAGCAAAGCACAGACTTTCCATTTTGGGTAACTTCAAAAACTAAGTCCTGAAAAAAAGTAAGAATCCAATATGCTTTTTGATGATATACACTATTTCTCCACAAAACATAAAATAAGGAAGTTCTTAAATAGAAAAGCAGAAGAAAGCGAGGAAGAGAGTGGAGAGGGACAGAGCAAAATGAAGCAGATATTTGAACCATATACCGAAAGTTGAGGTAATTTATAACACAAGCTGTAATTTTTTTTTTGGATAATTAACACAAGCTGTAATTGCATAATTGGGTCGAGGTCATTTTTTAAAAGAGTAAACTAAGTATTTAGCCACTCATTTATTTTTGTAATTCTATTTTGTCATCTAACTATTATTTTCTTTAAAATCACATTCATTGTTAAAAATAAAAAGAATTACTGAAGTAGTAGTATTTTTTTTTAACTTTTTTAATGAATTTATGGCAATACTTTATGATAATAATTCATTATCATCATCGATTTTTAATGGTTGGTGATCGAAATGAAATATTAGGTAAACTTTTTTAAAAAAAGTTGGATGACCAAAATTGAATCACAGGAATAGATGAATGGCTAACTATATAGTTTACCCTTTCTAAAAGGCAAGGACGGGGCACATCGGCGAGGAGATTCCGGCGGAAAACAGAAAGATCCAAAGAGGGGAAGGGTGCTGACTAGGACAAAAAAAGATTTAATCTTGAAATAAGAGAGCTTCAGGTCACACTCGGGTCAGTCCCTCTCCCTTTGACTCACACCAACACTGGTAGTTCATGATTATTATCACCGACTAATTAATTAGCCTCCATAATTCCTAATTGGCTAATTACTCTTACGTTTCTGGACATTCTCGTCATTTTGTGACTGTTAGATTACAGCTGCCGTTATACAGCTGGTAAATTTTACTACAACTAGGCAACCTTGAATTTGGCGCTAATTATTTTCATGTTTTTGGTTCAACTTAATAATGACCACAGTGTAAATTTTAATTAAATGAATAAAATTATTTTATAACTATGTAAATTTAGAAATAAACTTTCAGAATCTCATGAAAATGTGTGGTTCGTTATTTTTTATCCCCAAATATTTCTAATTCTAAAAGCTGTTTTAAAAACAGTTGTTAAGCAGAGTGAGGTTAAAACGTGGGGTTGTATTTATTAGGTTTGAATTAGGGTAGCCCCGAGTTTTGAATGGCCCCAACAACTTATTCTGCCGGCAGTAAATATTAGCCGTCAGATGAATGAAAGAGGGAGTAAATTAATCAAATTAGGAAACATCACATGTTAGTTTCAAAGTTTGGTGTTTTTGCGGTACAGGGGTAAAGTACACAAATGGTCCATTGATTATAGGACAATGCTTTGTTAAGTCTATCGATTATTAAAAGTTACAAAATGGTCCCCTAATTATATGGTGTTATTTTGTTGAGTTCTCCGACTATTTAAGAGTTACAAAATGGTCACCTGACTATTCATATGTTCCAAATTTAGTATTTTCTGTTAAAAAATTAGTAGTCGTATGAGCTGAGTTAACCTATTGTCTGAGATAGAGATATGATAAAACATAATCTTATAATATTTTGAATTGCATGTTGTGGATCAACTCTCCGTTTATGTTATGTCGTTGACCTATATCTTAAAACATATTCGTTGAGCCAATGTTTGAAAGTAACAACGGTGCAAATACATATCATTAAAATATGATTTTATCATATTCAAGTCAACATGTTAACGTTCAGCTCAGGCGAACTCTATTTTTAACAGAAAATGATGAGTTTAGAACATATAAATAGTCAGGTGACTATTTTGTAACTTTTAATAGTCTGGATTCACAAAATAAATAAATCCCTATAATCAGGGGATCATTTCATAACTTTTAATAGTCATAGGATATAACAAAATAATATCCTATAATTGGGGGACTATTCGTTTACTTTACCCTTTATTTAGTTACATAATCCGTTCTATCCTTTAGGAGAATAAAATATCTAGAAATGATGTGTTTATGAGTTTGTCGGAATCTTATAAGATTTTTAAATTTACCATATAAATTTACAGTTATCGGGATACAGTGTTTTTTTCATCTTTTTTATCCACAAAACCATTAAGGCGGAATTAGTGTCGACTTAATATACATTATATTGAATTAAAAAAAGGAAATGCAATTTACATCATCTCGGGCATTAAAAGAAGTCAAATGGTACAAAATTTAATGGTGTTTTTTTGGATCCGTTAATTTGGGTTAAATTATATGGTCGGAAAATTAATAACAAAATGTCAGATGTGTGTGTGCTTTCAGTAAGATTTTTTTTTAACAACTCCGTCCTTCCCAGTCACACTCGTAACTACCATTTTTGCAACTACTCTAAATTACCACTTTATTCCCTCTTTATTTTTGTCTTTTTTTATATTAATAACATCACGAATCAAATTATTTTAGCGGTTAAAAAATTATGATATTCTTTGAGGACCGTAGTTTAAACAATATATATGTAAGAATTTATGAACGTTTATTATCAAATAATTAAGAATTTTCGAATAGATAATATCTTATATTAACCTCATATTAATAGAAAGAATTAATAATTGCATTCTCTTTACTTTTACATTTGTAATTTGGGTGAACTACGCGATTAATATTTAAACTATTAGTTTTGGTCGATTATAGTATTTAAACTTTTAAATTTTCAAAAGCATACCTAACGTTTAGTTTTTATTTCATTTTAGTACTCACCGTTAAAAATTCAACGCATTTCAGACCTAAACTATCAGTTTCGATCCGTTTTAGTACCAAATTTTCAATTTTCTCAAAACTTAACGTTAAATTTTTAGCGGGTACTAAAAAAAAAATAAACATTAATATGATTTTGAAAAATATTAAAAGTTTAAATACTAAAACGGATAAAATTTGATAATTTATGTACTAAACGCATAGTTTACCCTTATAGTTTTTAGTCTACGGTTGTAATTAAAGCCTACTGGTTGAAAATATTAAACCACGTGTTTAATTTGGGTTTGATTGAGAATTGAGACTGGAAGTTGTAATTGATTACAAAAGCTAATCATAAGAGCAGAAAATTGACAAAATTAGGGGGCAAAACAAAAATCAGGCGGCTTCTTTGTTTGAAACGACACTACTAGGAATCCTATTAAGGAATAAGGATACGTTTGAGTATGTCTAAAAATTTACTCTGCATTATTAAATATTTAAAATAATAATATTTTTAAAATTTAAACGTATTATGTAGGTTACGTTATTTAAAAGACGCGTCTAATAAATACATTTGTACAAAAAAGAGTATTCTTTTAGGAATTTTTTTAGTAGGTTAGTTTCAAGGTTTTGTTTTGATTAATTTGGACCGATTCGGGTCGCACAGATGAGTCTTCTAACGGAGATTTTCTGCATACACAAATACTCGAACCTGAGACTTTGCTTAAGTGATATTTAACTGCATACACATAATTGCATTGTACATGATTAAAATAAAAAAAATGTGAATAATAAATTATAAATATTAAAAGAAATTGTGCCAAGAAGAAAAAAATACGATTGATACAAGCACATATTTGTACAAGCACGAATCAACCAAATGATGACTAGAATATATATATATAGATATTATCTTCAATCACTTAATGAGAGTATGCTTAAAAGTTTATATTTAAACAAAAAATTATTTTAAAATATGAAGTTTAAGAATCTCGAGGACCCAAATTTGTTGGTTTTGAGTTATCAAAGACATATATTGAACTTAATTATACCCATATTAGTATAACAATCAAAATACATTTCGGATATTAGGATATTGAGTATTTCGTAAGGTAACAACTATTTTTTATATTTGTACTAATATGATAACGATTAAAGTCAAGACTTATCTTTGAGTGCTCAAAATCAACAACTTTTTTTAATAGTGTGAGATGATTACAATGTAATATATATTCATAATTTTTCTAGTCATTGGTAATGTATGCACCTTGCAGATACAACTTCTCAAATATGAAACTTTTAAGAAAAATAACATCTTTTTTATCATTGAAATAATTTAATAGGTTCTAAAAATTAACAAATATAACTAAAAATCAACAAATATAACTAAAAATAATTAAATTAAAAGGTAAAACAAACGAAGAGTTAAATTATGATCATGTTTTAATATCATTATGTTAAAAGTTGAAATAATGAGAGAATTGTCCAATCATTTGCCGGGTTGTTTCTATTTTTGAAGTTTGGATTATCTCACAACTGCTAGCGCTAAGACATGCATATACGATTCAAAAATCATAGCCGCAGCTAGCGGTACAGCTGCTTAACCCGTTTCCCGATTATAGTCAAAGATTACAGCTTAATTAATCAGAATTGCATAAAAGCTTCTCTAATCTTCCAAACATTACCTTCCAGCCTTAACCTTTTCCCCGTCTTTCCATTTTATGTATAAAAAAAAAACCATTTTTATGTCCAAATTTTTCGTCCACATGTGATTTAAAAGTGTAGAAAGTATAACCCATCTAAGTAGTTTTAACTAAGGTATTTAAAAATATCCGATCCGGTTAACTCGGTCTGTCAACCCGGACCTAAAAATATCGGACAATTCTCTAAAAATATTACCCGTAATTTTTTTGGGTAGTTGGGCCGGGGCTAGGCCAAAATTCTTTTATAACCGAGTATCCGATCCAACCCTATAGTTTTATAATATATATATTAGTTTAAATTATATTTTTTATTTTAGGTTCTTAATATTTTTACCTTAAAAAATTAAATTTATTTCCCTGAACTTTT